CCCTCCCCTGCTGTTCTACCCTTGCTGTCCCTCCCCTGCTGTTCTACCCTTGCTGTCCCTCCCCTGCTGTTCTACCCTTGCTGTCCCTCCCTTGCTGTTCTACCCCTGCTGCCCCTTCCCTGCTGTTCTACCCTTGCAATCCCTCCCTTGCTGTACTACTCTTGCTGTACTTCCCCTGCTGTACTTCCCCTGCTGTACTTCCCCTGCTGTTCTACCCTTGCTGCCCCTTCCCTGCTGTTCTACCCTTGCAATCCCTTCCCTGCTGTTCTACCCTTGCTGTCCCTCCCCTGCTGTTCTACCCTTGCTGCCCCTCCCCTGCTGTTCTACCCTTGCTGTACCTCCCCTGCTGTCCCTCCCCTGCTGTTCTACCCTTGCTGTCCCTCCCCTGCTGTACCTCCCCTGCAGTTCTACCCTTGCTGCCCCTCCCCTGCTGTTCTACCCTTGCTGTACCTCCCCTGCTGTCCCTCCCCTGCTGTTCTACCCTTGCTGTCCCTCCCCTGCTGTACCTCCCCTGCAGTTCTACCCTTGCTGCCCCTCCCCTGCTGTTCTACCCTTGCTGTACCTCCCCTGCTGTCCCTCCCCTGCTGTTCTACCCTTGCTGTCCCTCCCCTGCTGTACCTCCCCTGCAGTTCTACCCTTGCTGCCCCTCCCCTGCTGTTCTACCCTTGCTGTACCTCCCCTGCTGTCCCTCCCCTGCTGTTCTACCCTTGCTGTCCCTCCCCTGCTGTACCTCCCCTGCAGTTCTACCCTTGCTGCCCCTCCCCTGCTGTTCTACCCTTGCTGTACCTCCCCTGCTGTCCCTCCCCTGCTGTTCTACCCTTGCTGTCCCTCCCCTGCTGTACCTCCCCTGCAGTTCTACCCTTGCTGCCCCTCCCCTGCTGTTCTACCCTTGCTGTACCTCCCCTGCTGTACCTCCCCTGCTGTTCTACGCTTGCTGTCTTCCCTCCTGTTGTCCCTCCTTCCAAATGTTCCCCCTCACTGCCATCCTGCGCCCCCGATTTCACT